GTCCTGATGAGCAAGGATATGAAAATTCTCACTTCAAAGTTGCAGCAACTATGACGGCTTTGTTCTCAATGCAGGAAAGTGTCTGTGTTGAGCAAGATGTTTATAAATGCACTAGTGGCCCGGTGCACGGATTCGTGCACACTGCAAGAAATTAATTAGAAGAAATATTTTAATATCACTATTTGCCCTTTCTCCATAATAGAAGTGTCAGAGATGAAAGAAAATGAGTAAAATGTATATGAAAAAATATATAAGTTGATTAGTAAATAAATAACATTATATAAGAACAAAGACATATTAAAAACAAAAATATGATATAAAAACAACAAAAACATGATATAAAAGCACTGATACAAACAATGACTGATAAATTGATTAAACTTATTCTAATATTTTCCTGAATACTACATTAAGAGTAAAAACACTTTGAGAGTGCTTATTTCCCTTGTGGTGAAGTATTTACAACTTTAACGTGACATGCTATTCGAACTCAAGAGAAAGCATCATATAACTGACCATGTCTGACAGACTAGGAATATTCAGGTAGGAGTATTCCTAGTCTGTCTAGGGTGTGTCCTTGTGATATATTAATACTCATCCCAAATGCTGGCATCACGGGAAACTGTCTTCGAATTAATTTAAATGGGAGACCAGTGTCAGACGGGGACAAAACAATTCTTGGAATCAGAACAACCTCTCCTTCTGCAGATCCTGTTAATACTTCAGCTTCAATTATGTTAGGTCGCAATCTTTTAATAATAAATCTAGTACCATTACAAAGACCCCATTTACTATTAAGATTTCGCAGTAGCATGATGATTGTACCTACTTTCAATTTTAATTTATGACATGGCATTCCCAAAGGAGTAAAAACTATTAAGGGAAAATTTCCCTTTTTGGCATCATCTGCTGAATCTATGGAATCATCACTCAAATGGTACATTGTGCCAATAGTTGGTCTTCAGATACATTCTGTGCACGATGCTGGCTTCTTTTGGCTTCAGAGGTAAATTGTGCCAATAGTTGGTCTTTAGACATATTCTGACACCAACGCAGCTTTCTTTCAGCTTCAGAATGTCAACAAAAGCAAACAAATTCACCATCAACAATGACAGATCGAAACATACATGTGCAATTGGCACCAGCAAGAGCTTTATATGTATCGCACATGCATGAGTCAACATTTATTTTTAAGTTGCCAGTGCGCGTCCTATGTACCGGCCAGTTGGTTGGACGGACATATGGTTGTTCACTTAGCCTTTTCTATAGAGATAAGAACAGGCCCTGTCTGGTTGCTTAGCTCTCCATTTCAGCGTTTGCAGCTCTCGGCAAGCCCCTCATACTTCCTGGTCAGGAGCTGTGAGGGGTTCTGTCTGTGCACTCAGCCCCTCCCAGATGGCCTGCTGTGCCAGGCACTGGCTACGGTTCTGGGGGACAAGGCACCAGACAGAGGAGACAGTGAGTGCGTAGTGTATGCAGGTGGTAGGAAGTGCTTACGAGAAAAATACAGCAGAGAAAGGAAGCGAGAAGTCCTGAAGGCAGGGTGGGCAATTTTAGACACTTTATAAATTATTGTGACAACACCATCAGGAAATACTTGTTTTGATTTACGCTTCCTGGCCCTTAAATAGAAGAAAAGTGGACGGACAAGTTCAGGGATCTATTTTAACATGCTGTCACCAGAGTCTAGAGCAGGGTCCACTAACCTCAGAAACCGAAGGAGCCTGATGACACCTATTACCACAGATGCTTTGGTAATTTTCACAGGAACCAGACATAATGCATCCACTTGGTAAGAGGACATTTCAAAATGATTTTCAAAATGAATATGCAGTATTTCCTTTTATTTCCATGGGGAAACTACTCATATGCTATCCAGCTAAATTATATTGGTGATCTTGACCATTATGCTAATTTTAATGTCTTTTTTTTTTTTTTAATCCTCACCCGAGGATATTTTTCCATTGATTTTCAGAGAGAGGGAAAGACAGAGAGAAACATCTGTGTGTGAGAAACACACTGATTGGTTGCCTCCCGCACGCACCAAGACCAGGGAGAAGCCTGCAACTGAGGTACGTGCCTTTTACTGGAATTGAACCATGGACCCTTCAGTCCACAGGCTGATGCTCTACCCACTGAGACAAACCAGCTAGGGCTAATTTTAATGTCTTTTTAAAGTTATGAGTTCAAACTGGTAAGCTGCTGTGTTAACCCTTTGCGGTCGTATTCAATTTGGACGTGGGTGTCGTAATGGTCGGAATTAATTTCCATTGAAAGAGCAGTGATACATAACATGCAAGATTATGAAGGATAAACAAGATTTATTAATTCTTTTCTGGAACTACGTCACTGCTAGTAGAATCACTACAAACATTATCACTTTCTACGTCAGAGTCAGTAGTCAAGGTGCCAAAATAAAACTCTTCACCATTACTTTCAGATTCGCAGTACACTTCTTTCGGTAACTTTCTTTTTGCCATTTTGGAGTATTGTTTTGAAATATCTTAACAAGCAAGAATGCCTAATTACAGTTAAACGTAACTTGTAAAGCTTTATTTGAAATTCTGTGAAGTATCGCCGAAGCTTGTCGATTTCTTCACTCTCAAAAGGCGACTGACTCGCCACGGTGTTTTGCATGGCGAGTGTTTATATTGAGTTTCGGTATCTCCTATTTGTCAGGGCAATGTTTTGGTTCGTGACAAGGTCACTTAGACACTTAAGAGCTTTCAGAGAAATTATGAACTGACACATGAATGAATGGAGTTAAGATTCGTACGGTTCCTTGCTGTGGTGGCTGAGAGCAGACATACGACCAGAACGGTAAAAAAGCTTTGGTGGCTGAGAGTAGACAAACGACCGCAAAGGGTTAAAAGAATAAACAGCCTCTCCTTCTCCCAGAGAATCCAACACTACACTCCACCCACCCAGCTTCTTCAAATAGTGAAGCCAGCACAGTCGTTATCAGAATGTTATCGACATGTATGCAGAATGTCTGCTTTTGATTTTCATATCAGAAACTTAAACAATGTGGTTAAATAGAATGTATGATGCTTTACTTGTAGCTGCTAATTTAAACCTCCTCAGTCAATCTTGCAAGGAATCTTCCAGCAAGTATCTTACAGGTTTGGGCTTTAATCTGATTAGCAATCTGATTAGCAATCCTTTCAAGACAGCAAAGAGTTGAATGGAAAACAGTGGTAGGCGGGAAGCTAGCCTGCAGGTGGGGTAACAGTGGGCACATCAACGGAATGCCTACGTTTGGAATCCTGACTTGAGAGTGGCACTGATCCTCCCTCAGGGATCCACCTGAAAGTTCACGCTTCCATGAGCATTACAACTCCGTGATGGTCAAAATGTTAGTTACTCATGTTTTACATCCAGTGCTAACCTTCTTAGTTTGCTCACTTTCTAGCATAAGAAATCAGTGATTGCCCGGCCAGGGTTGCTCAGTGGTGGAGCACCGGCCCATGAACCAAGAGGTCACGAGTTCGATTCCTGGTCAGGGCACACGCTCAGGGTTGTAGTCTTGGGGATTGCAGGAGACAGTCAATTGATATTTGTTTTCATTGATGTTTCTATCTCTCTATACCTCTCTGTTCCCCTCTCTCTCAAATCAATAAAAACATTTTTTGGAAAGAAATCAATGACTGAAGAAAGTTTTGCAACAGAAAACTCTAACAGTAGTAGAAAAAAGCACAGTTTTTATTTCTAAAGCTACAGGGCCAAGAACTGATAGGCTGGGCTCGGCAGGAACTGGGTATGGGGACAGACACCATGGAGGAAACGTTCCGAACAGCAGTGCCAGCGTTGCAGAGAGCCTATGTGTAATCCTCAGGTGAACCTCGCTTCAAGTTATGTAGGGGTGAAGGTCATTGTCTACAAGAAGCATGTCAAACTCAAAGGCTAACAAGGGCCAAATAAACGAGGCAGCGGCCCACGAGTTTGACCTGCTTGGTCTACAGCGTTCACAGTTATAGGTGAAATTAGGAGACGTGTCCAGTCACTAAGCAGCCCTTAAAAGGCGAAGACACCTCTTGTCCCTGTCCTGATGGCTCCGTCCGGTCTGTCCCGTTCCTTCCGGGCTGGATCTGAACCAGCAGGCCCCTCTTCCCCGGCGCCTCAGCGTGTCCAGTCCCAGAGACTGGCCGCGGCACTGTTTCAGTCCGGGGTGAAAAGCATTTATCCAATGCCTTTTAAAAATTCTCACCATGTGAAAAAGAGGATCTGGGCACCCCAGGTGACTGCACCGGTGTGGCGGTAGCTGCTCTTCATTTTCTCATCCTGGCCGTGTCCCTGACCTGAGCTCTGGGCCTGCCCCAGTTGCCTGACCCTGGCTGTGGCTCAGGGCTGCAGGGTGCTGACCCCAGGTAGTGGCCGCAGCAGGATACATGTCGTCTGACCAGCAGTCAGAATCATCTCACTTAATCTTCCTGACAGTGACCCCGGAGGTAGCTGAGCTCCCCTTTACACCCAAGGTCACGCAGCGTACACCTCCAGACACAGACCTGAGACGCACCTGTCCTAGCCCACGGAGTAACGCAGGCCCGGCCGTCAGCCCCAGGCCTGCGCTCCGAAACCCCAGACCCGCGCTCCAACCGATGGGAACCTGGAGTCCGCGCTTCCTGCAGCGCGAACCCGGGGAACCACAGCACGTGCGTCGGTGCGGTGGGCATCGGTAGGCGAACGCGCTCACCCCGTCCCCGGCGCTGGGGCCGCGGAGGTCGCCACCGCAGGTCCCACCGCCCGCCCCGGTCGGCGGGTCAGTGCGGAGGCCGCCGCGCGGGGAAGGGTCCACGCGGCGGATCGACGTCCAGCTCGCGGCGCGGGCGCGGTGCGGGCTCGGCGGCCGGTGCCCGCGCTTCCTCCCCGCCCTGCAGGCCCCACCGCACGGCCCGCGCCCCCACCCCCACCCCCGCCCCGGCGTCGCCCCCGCCGCGCGGCCCGGGCTCTCCCGGCGCGGACCCGAGCGCCCTCCCCCGCCCCCGGGCCGCTGCGCTCACCTGCGGTCCAGCAGGGACACCAGGAAGCGAGTCCGCAGTCGGCGGGCCGCGGCGACACCGGAACCAGGCGGGTCGGGCCGGGCCGGGCTGGGCGGGGCAGGGCGGAGCCGATTGGGCAAAGGGAGGGGCGGGGCCGAGCCGGTAGAGGGGCGGGACAGACCGTCAGGGGGCGTGGCTGAGCGCGGAGATGGGCGGGGCCGAGGCGCAGGCCCGCCCCCCGCGGGCACGGCCCGCCCAGCCCTCTCCCAGGCGGAGCTGCTCCTGCCACTGTGCGCGTGTGCACTAGTGGGCTGGTGCTCCCAGCGCTGAGAACATAGCTTGCTCACCGAAGCCCCCAGTCCAGTTTGGGCGTTGAAATGAGTGGTGTGGTGCACCAACATTAATCCTAGAGGATAAAAGAACCGAACCGCGAGAAAATCCCACCCCTCCTGCGCCAGGAAGAGCCTGCATGGCCATCTTACTCAGCACTTCCACTGGCACCTTGCCTGAGCCATTGTACATCCTTCGTTTCATTTAACCTCACAATTTTGTGACGTATTCATTATCCCCATTTCATAAGAGAAAAAAATATTGTGAAACTTGAGTTTTGCTCGCGGAGTCATTGGCCTCCTTGCCCAAAGTCGCGTTTCTAAGTAAACTGACCCCAAAGGCCCTGCCAACAGAACAAACCTCGTGGAAAACACCACTCCGCTTGGATTAGCACTGCTGTCCAAGAAAAACAGGGCAGAATCAACAGGCAAACACACGGGGAAACATATTCGCCATACAACGCTGACAGTCAAGGAAAGGGTTGGTATCAAGTATAAACTGATTTTTAAAAAATAGAAAACTGGGCAAAGGATAATTTTTTAAATTACAGAAAAAATGAAAAATGAAACAAATGAAGAGGCGTAGACTTTCCTAACTAAAAACTTTACTTTTACTCCAGAAAATGAAAACTAAATCAGATCAGTACAAGCGAGGATTCAGCACATCCTGGGGGTGCCATGCATGGTTCTAGATTTGTGATAAACTAGCGACAGGCAGAAGCTTCTATCCTAGAGGCAGACAAATAATAACTGGGTTATTACAAACAAATGAGGTGATCTCAGGTAGCCATAACGACTCTGGGGAAAGTAAAAGGGTGATTTGAGGATCATGGAAGCTTATTTAGACCAGGGATAAGGGGAGTTCTAAGGTTGTGATATTTGAATTAAGACCTAAAAAATAAGATAAAGCCAGTTATGCGAAGATCTGAGGGCCATGGCATGATGCAGGGCAAAGGCAGCAGCAGACCTGGCAGGTTGCAGGGGCGGACACAGGCCTTTGTGATTGCAGCATAGTGGAGAGGAAGAAGTGTTTCGTTTTGCAATTACTAAGGTTTGGGAAAAACAACCTTTTGTGTCATTCTTGATTATGCTTTTACATTTAAATGGAGGTCCCCAGGCACCACTAATTTAACTGTAATTTTCACAATTCCCAAAATACATAATTTTCATACCTAACCTTCATGACCTCTGTCTCCACTAAAATAGGAGGAAGCACGGAAAAGGAAATGGTTGTATATTTTTAGTGCCCAATAAGCAATCTCGTTTAAGTATATTTATCCCTGCTGCTCAAGCTATAGTCTACATTCTCTTGTGTAGGGAGCGGCTATAGAGTTAAAGCCTTGGATTGACCTGTGGCAGAGCCACAAACAGGTCCCAGCTTAGAGGGCAGAGCCCTCTTAGCATAATTAAGCTTAACCTTATAGCCCCCCTAGATCCTTCCTGGGCAGCTAATGGGCTGTGGGAGATGCAGCAAGTGCTGCCAAAACAAGTAAAACTCACAAGAATAGTGTAACTATGTTGACCACTACCTTGTTTTTCTCTGACTATAAAATAAAGCCTCAGCTTGCCTGCTGGATCCTTCTCTGTGGCCTCATCCAGGCACAGGAGACCCACCGAGCCCCAGCTATATTCTCTTTGTCTGTCTTTTCTTTAATCCTTCGTTGCACCCCCCTCAGGCTCACCGAACCCTTGGCTGTGCTGTCATGGCACACTCTTGTACTTGAATTCTTGTTCACTCGTCCATTTATTCAAATGTATTGAATGCATATTATGTCAGGCATAACAAGGTGCAAGAAGCAAAGAACAAATATGTATGGACTCAACACCTGGTGGAGAATTTCATGGATGTTAAAATGAATGACATGTTCATGAAATCAATTAATTATAACAAATTTTGTGGCTTAAAACTAACAGTCATATTACTTCTCATAATGTCTGTGTTCAGGGGTTTAGGAGTGGCTAGCGGTGGTTCAGGTGCATCACTAGGATGGCGTTGCAGTCAGGTATCCCACAGGGCACAGGGTGGAGGATTCACCCCCAAGGTGGCCTGCTTGCAAGTCACAGGGGTGCTGTGTGTTGGCGGGAGACCTCAGTTTCTCTCCACGTGGTCCTCTCAATAGGACATGAGTGTCCTAAGGGCATGGCTGCTGGCTTCCTCCAGGGTAAAAATTCAAAAAATCAAGGCAGAAGGTCTATGACTTCTATGACTTAGCCTCAGAAGTCAGAGGCCATCACCTTTGCCATCTTCTATTGGTCAAACAGACCACCCTTGATTAAATGTAGGTGGGATTCCACAAAGAGGTAAACTCAAGAGGGAAGGATCACTGCTGGCCATCTGGGAGGCTGCCTACCACAGATGTCTAATAAGGGCTTTGAATCTAAACGTAGAAATAAAACCTAATCTTTCCAGAGCTATTCCTCCACAGTCTTCTCTATCTCAAGTAATGGCAAAGCGTTCTCCCAGTTGTTTGGGTCAAAACATGTGGAGTCACCTTGGACTCTATCTCTCTCCTCTCATACCCCATCCCCATCTAGTCTGGTTTGTCAGCTAATTCTGTCAACCCTACCGTCAAATATAGCCAGTCTCTGATCACTCATATATTCCAGCCTAGCCCAAGCCACCACTATTTCTTTCTAGATGATTCTAATACCCTAGTAACTGCATTGCTACTTGTTCCCCTTCAGTCAATTTTTCAAAGCAGTCAGAAGGATCTAATTAATATTTTAATTAGGTTATGTCACACACAATCATAAAAAGAAAATCCAACTTCTTAACAATTGCCTACCAGGTGCTCCAGTACTTGGTCCCCAACACCTCTCTGACCTTCTCTCTCCGACCTTTGATCAATTGACCTTTGCTCAATGAACCCTATCTAGAGTGGACTTACTGTTCATGGAAAATGCCACTTGTCTTCCCAGTTCAGGCCTTTGCACTTTCCCTCTACATGGGATGCTCTGCCCCAGATTTCTTCAGGGCTCACTCCCTCTTCTTTGGGTCTTTATTCGAATGTCTCCCCAGTGAGGCCTTCTGCAGCCGCCACCCTGGTTAACACTGCAATGCCAAAACAGGAATGCATTTTACCCCTTCCTGTTTGTCTTCCACTTTAATATTTATCATCATCTATTATATCTTTTATTATTTATCTTGCTTACTATCCTTCCCCAACTAGAATATATACTCCATTTAAAATTGTTCATTCACAACTAGAAGAGTTGCAGGGGTGCTGTGTATTGAATTAATGAAGAAATGGTGCCAGACTTGTTATAAGACAAACATCACACGTCATTGAATTTACAGTACAGCAAAGGCACACATTACCAGCTCGTATCAACTGCAGCTCCAAAATATACCCGATTAATAGATAATGACAGTATAAAAATGAAATCACAAAACATGATCAGCACCATAAAGGAAAAGAAACTGTATTTGGGGAATCAAGAAAAGCTTCTCTGAGAAAGTGACATTTGGGCTGAGAGCTGAAACATGAACAGGAATTCGCTAGGTAAGGAATAATAGAGCAGGGTGGAGGATGGGAAGGAATTCTGACAGAATTCCTTGGACAGGTCCAAGATTCCTTGGAGGAAAGAAAACATAGTGTGCCTGGAGCCAAGTAAAAATAATGCAGACTTAAAGAGACTAAAGACACACGGCAATTAAATGCAATATGTAATCAGAATGTGATCCTGAGTTGAGAAAAAATAGTTGCTATAAAGGGCAGCTTTGAGACGTATATTAAATAACTAGAGGCCTAGTGCACAACATTTGTACTGAGTGGGGGGAGAGTTCTTCAGCCCGGCCTGTGCCCTTTTGTAGTCCAGGAGCCCTTGGGGGATGTCCCACTGATGGCTTAATCCAGCTGTTGGACATCCTTAGCACTACTGCGGCGGTGGAGGTGGGAGAGGCTCCTGCCACCACCACGGCACGCAGCAGTAGTGAGCCTGGCTTCTGGCTGAGCAGCACTCTCCTGTGGCAGTGCACTGAGCATCAGGGGGCACCGCCTGCATTGAGCATCTGCCCCCTGGTGGTGAGTGCGTGTCATAGCAACCCGTCGTTCTGCCATTCCGCCGATTTGCATATTAGCCTTTTACTAGAGGCCTGATGCACGAAGATTCGTGCAATAGGCCTTCCTTCCCCTGGCTGCCGGCACTGGCTTCCCTCCGGCACCCAGGACCCGGGCCTTCGCTCTGGCCACTGCCTTCCACCTTTGTTCTGGGCCAGAGTTGCCTCCTGCCTTCGCTCTGGGCCGGAGCTGCCTCCCGCCCGCTCAGGTCAGCACCATGGCCGCCACCCAGAAGCCTGTTCTCAGCGGCCAACTGGGGCTTGCAGGAGGCTTGGCTTCCTTCATCGCTGGGGCAATGAAGGAAGCCAAGCATCCTGCCTGAAGGAAGCCAAGTGTCCCATCTTTGTGGCTATGTGTACAGACATCTTTGTTGCAGAGTGGCGGTTAATTTGGATATTACCCTTTTATTAGTATAGATTATATAGGACTAGTAGCCTGGTGCACGAAATTCGTGCACTGGGGTAGGTGGGGAAAGGGCCCCTCAGTCTGGCCTTCACCCTCTCCAATCTGAGATCCCTCAGGGAATGTCCAACTGCCTGTTTGTGCCCGCACTTTAACAGATAACAGCTCCATTGTTGTTTCTTTCTTATGCTTAAAACCATTGGAATTAGTATGTATTCAAAGTGTGTATACATTTTGGGGGGACACCCTGTATATCTCTAGTCAGCGGTGAAAGAAACCAACAGCAGATTTGGAACCCCCAGACAGGGAACCTCGCTCACTCCCCAC